ATCTGACGTAACACGCACGCTTTCAATTATAAACCGAAATTTATTGCATCAAAGGCTTTGGGTAGTTTGCAAACCCTACAAGCTATTTGCAAGTTAATAAAAAAGGCTACAAACATGTTAATGCGAGTGCAGACTTGTCTCAAATTGAAAATCTCACACCAGCCAGCTGACAAAAGGTGGTGACGCTGATTATCCTTAGTAAAAAATGCACAATAAAGTATTTTAAAATAGTTTTGCTAATAAAAAAGCATTATTTAAATGTTTAACCGAGAAAAAAATGAAGCGTTCAGGAAAAGTTTTACGTGTCATTAGAGGTTATTAAAAGGGAGGCAATAGGGACGGATTTAATGCACTTATTCAGAGCTGACTGGAAAACGTGTTCACGCACTATATTTCAAAATAGGTTTTCCACACATACATTTGCATGGCGATGAATAAAGTATCGTCGGAGAATTATTTGCCCTTTGGATTTTGACCCTTGGCCTGTACACTGATGATGTCATCGGCCAGTGTGGCTCATGAACAGCCACTTTCAGTCCCTGTAACTGCGTCTGATTTTGATTGCCCTCATACTGCCTGCCGGCCATTCTGTGTGCAGCTCTCCCAGTTATTCCATAAGATTACAAGAAAACCACAGATGGGCTATTACACAGTGACGTGTTCGAATTCCACTTAGCAGCTTTCGCTCATGTGCAGTGATGCCTGCAGAACATTTTGATTGGGGTGGCGATCAGGGGCCAGTTATATTTATGGGGATGACCCCCCTGTGTGGCTTCTATGTTTCTGCTTAGATGGTAGAATAACCCATATTTTGTTTTAATTATTTTGATGTGAGGTGGCAATAGGGGTGGTAATGGCCACCTTTACAGTGTTCAGTGTGTTTGCTACTGAGAACAAGCAAGGAATCAAAATTAAAACTGACAACTGAGACTGTGAACTGAAAAAAAACAATGCCTTAGTTTTGAAAAATACTAAATTTAAGTGGAATTGTTTGCAGAATGTCATTGTCACTGGTTATCTGCTCGTCTTTGTCACTATTGCTTGGTAGGATCTTTAAAGTCAAGGGAAGGTTGCGTAGGTGTTTGTGGTCGGGAAAGATGCACACGAATGTTAGTGCTTTTGCCACAGTATTTAACTTTGCTACAGCAGATCTCGCAGACACCCATATTCATGTCCAGTTGTCCATTTACTTCGTACCCGCTGTCCTTCAGGGTTACGGAAGCTAATAATATTCAGGTTTTTTTTTTAATAAAACGAGTAAGAAGTCAGCGACACCTTTATATCAGTATTTTAAGAAAAACCTTTTTTTATCCCAGGGTTACCAACTCTCACGCATCTGACGTAACACGCACACTTTCAAT